GCTTTGACCAACGGATGTGGATCAGTTCAAAGTGTTTCTTGCCCTCAATAGCTTAGTTCGTTCCTTGTAAAGCCCACTGGTCCCTCGGCCTAACCTCTCCCACATCCAATTTGTAATTTTGCCCAGGTTCCAGGAGCGAAGCGGTCAGAAGCTGCAGTACCGGAGGAGACCAGGACTTCACCTGCGGCAGCTCCACCCGTCCCTGCTGGGACGAAACCCATGTCCGTGCAAGAAACTAGTGGTGATGAAGCTGAGTACCCAGTTGTGATGCATGCAGCCACTATGACTCGGAATGAAAAGCAGAAAGTTGCACGTGTGGTCACACCCAAGGGAAGCAGTGGTCATCTCGAAGTACCCAATGATATTTTCAAATTGTGGAACACGAAAGCTGGGAAAGAGAAACTCTATGCACTTTGGGCTAAGAGCGGAGGTGTTAAGGCAGGAAACATACGTTGTTTGGTTCGAAAAAAATGGAGTCCTTTAAGCCCCCAGCCATGGGCTGACCCATCGAATCTTTCCCGCTATAGGCAGTGTTTTTGGAAAGGGTCACAATTTTGTCATCGACCACGCGAAGCAAGAAACTCCAAGTCACTGGTGGTTTCTATTCCGAAGAAGACATGAAGAAGGAGTTAAATTACAAAGAGTTCTTTGATTGCAGCATTATTGCGAAGAATATCTTTATAGTTCGAACAAACCATGCAACAGTTGATGTAGCGGCTATGATTTTGATTTCTTTGTTTCACGAATTGTTTCCTCCATGTGGCCACAAGGGACCGCATTGAGAAGATCAAGAAATGGGCGATCAGCAAGAAGCTCGTGAGGCCAGGGTGTGTGCATGTGTGTCTGTGTGTGTGTGTCCATGCAACCAGTCTGCACTAGCCCACGCTCAAAATTCTGCGAGGTTGTGTGAATACGATGAGGACACGCCTGAGTATTGGGTCAACACACGCACTTCGGGAACTTTGTCGCGTGAGGATGTCGAGACCATGTCAAGGGAGCGCACTCATGACCAAACGGTTGGTGCGGACTCTTTCGCATTAGGGGATGGCCCCGAGGACACTGAGGGTGCAGGTGGATTCAATGCTGATTTGGGTGCCAGCGGCATGGATCTGGAAGGGGACAGCCAAGTGACCGTATCTATGCCTTTAAATTTCGAGTTGGCATATGTGATCTGATTTATCCATTCTTTTTGGCATTGATCCCTGTAAGAACTTAGGCACAGTCAAAACTTGGGTCCTATTTGAAGAATGCCTTGAAGACCAAGAACAATTTGTCAAACCTCGGCGACAAAATCAAAATTCTTGTTGACGGCGATGAATCCTGTGCCGAGCCTTCTGGCGAAATCTAGCATGTTGAAGAATCCAGCTCAGCTCGCAGTTGGTTGAAGTTCGTCGGATAAAAAGTAGCATATGTCCTTAGATGATTTCCGATCCATTGGCTCAGGAACTACAAGAAGCTCAACAGCATCATCAAATCCATCGACTTGCACTACGAAACACTGTCTGATATCCAAGCGGAGGGATCCATCAATGGTTTCACGGCTGAGTTCCATGGCGGCAGTATGTCATAATTCTAGTGAGTCCAGCAGAATCTTTGAATTTGAATAAAATTCACAGAAGCCTATCACATACTACTCGGACATTCGCAAGGCACAACAAAAAGCTGGAGGACGTATTCGCAGCCTTGACCAAAGCGAAGCTCAACTGCAAACAATTTCATTTTACGCATTCATACCATGCATATATTATTGCAATGTGTGTTCATATAGGTTTATTTGAAACCCCATGTACGATATATTCGCAATATATCGATCCATGTCAAAGTTTACATGCTTCGCACATTGCAGCCAAGGATTTCGAAGGGAACTTCGGTGGAAGCTGCTTGCAAGTAGTTTCCCAAGATACCATCTCATCAGTCTTGAAGTCAGTATGAACATATCGATCATGATTCGACACCTGGGTTTGCAAGGCACTTCGTGACAAAGGCCAAGAAGCATCGACGCTCTAAGACTGAGGACTGAGATGTTTTGAGCTCAAGGGCATATAGCAATGCGCAAAATATTTGGTTTCATACGATGCCATCCCAGCGAGTTCTGTGAAAGTTGGATGAAAGCTATCATCATTGCATGGCTATTTTCCTTCTTGTGAAATCTGATTTTCATTATAGTTGATCACCATGTTGATGGGATGCTGTCTCAATCGAAGTTGGGGTATACTGCAGTAGGGAAAGGCCCATGCCATAAACAATTGGCATTTTGGCTATAGATCCTATACACTGCACCTGGGGAATAGCCCGAGTGAAAAAGAAAAGGCCCTTTCGAGTTGAGAAGTTTTGACCTTGTGATGCCGCGCTATTGAACTTGCGAGCATCCTTTGATTTTCCACAGCCACATGGGACCATGTGCACCGTATTTTTTATTGTGAAACGATCTCCAACCCGAAACCACGCAGGTAATGCAGAGCTGAGTGACACCGTCTACCACATTGCCAAAATATATGCCCGTGGAGCTTCCTGCCTGCAAACCAAACACAAGCATCAGCTAGGCAGCTAGGCAACACATGTTTTCAATTTTGTATTCTTGAATGATGGACATGTTCGCATGAAAAAACATCACCATGTATCCCATGGAGCCGAGGCTCCTGCGAAAGAGTGTGTGGAAGCAGCGATAGCTGCCCGGAAAAAAGATTCATGCCGTGTTTTGGCAAAGATTGCTAGTGCGAAACTGGATTCTGCTGATGAACCTTTGTTTGAAGCTTTGAAAGCATGTGGCTTAGCTCTCAACGTGCCTACAACAACGCTTCAGCTTGATGATACGTTCGCATACCCCTGCTTTGACCCGAGAATGTTGTTACATGAAGTGGCTAAGCGTGGATTCATACACAAGATCTTGGGAGTACCCATTGCATATGCTCACAAGACACTGCCGGAGTTTTGGCGAAAGCATCGCTCCCTGTATCCACAACACTCACTTCATTCGCAAGAAAATGTTGACTATGACCATTTGATTCCGTTCTACTTACACGGAGACGGTGGACGGACATACAAAAAAAACGGGATTTTGATTCTCAGTGCTTACCCAGCGCTGGGGGAAGGGACAAGAGCAAACCCTGTCGATCTCCAGCCCTTGCCTGGTCGAGGAGTGAAGCGGCCGCATCCAGATTGCCATGGCAACAGCTCGGAAACACCAAAATTTTCAGCTGGTATCAATCTTCGAGGTAGATCTTTGGCAAACAGATTTCTCTTCACTGCCCTGAAATGTGAATACTACAAGGATGAGCACCATCGGTTTGACGAACTGATTGATATATGGGCGCAAAAAATGAAGGACCTCTTCGAAACAGGTTTCGAATTTGGGGGTGACACTTGGAAAATTGGAGTGCTTGGCCTCACAGGGGATGCTCCCTTTCTTCGTGAAGCTGGTCGTCACAATAGATCATTCTCGAATGTTCGAAAAAGTGCTGCTTCGAATCGGATCTTGAAAGGTGTTTGCTGGCTGTGTGATGCTGGCCGTACAAATGGTCCAGCTTATGAGGATGTGAACATCTTGACTGCGGATTGGCTCGGCACAGTTGGTCCCAGAAATCCTTTGCCCTGGACATCCCAATCCCCGCTCTTGGAACACTTGTTCATGGACCAGAATGACCCTGCTAGCTTCTATTTGCCGGACACCTTTCATATATACTACTTTGGGTAGGGAAAGACTTCGCGTCATCATCTTTGATATACCTTGCCAAAACAGTCTTCAAAAAAAGGAATATCGATGCCAGCATTGATGCAATCAATGGAGAACTCCAGCGTTACCTTGCTTTGCACAAAACAGAGCGAGCACACTTTGGAAGAAAATTTTCTAAGGAACTACTTGGATACAAATCTGGTCGCCACTATCCATTTGGTCGCTGGTCAAAGGGTGCTGACACATCGTTTGTTGTCAAATTTGTCGAGTGGTTGGTTGATGAAATTGTTGCATCCAATGGTGAATGGAGTTCTGACTTTGTGATCCTCAGTATCCGGGATGGGTGCAAGGCCATCGGGACGTTCTTGCGAATTTTGTTTGGGTCGTCATTTTGGTTCACACCTCAAGGAGCAAAAGACGCTATTCTCTCCGGGCTTGAGTTCTCTCGCATGTTCATGCGCTTGGCTTCTGTTTGCGTGGTCCGAAAGCAGTGTTTATATAAGGTGACGCCAAAGGTCCACATGTACTCGCATATCCTCCTACGAATGCTTACAGAGTATCGCATCGACCCATCTGCTGTTGTAAACCCATTGTCATCTTCAACTTTTCAGTGCGAAGACTTCGTAGGGCATGTGGCAAGGATGTCAAGAAGATGCTCTGCAAAAGTGAATGGTACCAGGATCATTCACCGCTACTTAGTGGCAATTGAAGGTGCTTTCAGGCTTGAAGCTGCTTGAAGGAAGGAAAAAAAAGGTGCGCAACATGAAATGTAGCTACCTAAGGTGATGGGGTCCAAGGGCATTTCTACGAAACGACCATAGATTCTCGAAACGACCAATTCTGAAATGAAAGTGGTTGACGACCAAAAATAAATGGTTGCCCAGCTTCCTAGGTATATACATAGCGTACACACACACGCGCACACACACGCACACACACACATATATATATATATATATCATAATTTAGATAAATAGACAGATAGGTAGATAGGTAGATATGCATACACAAATGTGCTCCCCATCGACAAGAGATTTAGAGATTTCCGGCCCATTGATCCTCCGGTCCTCCCGGGCCCCTGCGATCGAGACACGAAAGCTGCCACTGACTTGCTTTGGCCAGGGCGTTGAGAGCGCTGCTAAAGGTCACAACGCTCACCTCATGGCTGGCTTTGGATATATATTTATATATATCATCCAATCAACTAAGAGAGTGTGGTGGGGATCTGGCCCGATCAACTGGTCATGGAAAAATCAAACCCCATTTTTATGGCTTTGGTGACTTTCAATGGGACATTCTCCTTTTTGAACGGCTTTTAATGGGGTTTTCACGGCACCTGAATCCGCAACTCCTGCTCTTCCTGCAGCAGTTGCAGCGCCACTCTCCAGGTAACGCCGCCCGACACCGTTGCATCGATGACAGTGGCGAAGGCCACGTCGTCCAATGGCAGCCTGCAGATGGAGAAGGGATAAGATTGGATGATTTTTGGGGGTACCCCCATGGCTTAGTTAAACTCCAAATGGAAAAACATGGATTTTACATGGATGGGACTCGACCTGCCAAACTGATAAAGCGGGATTTTCATGGAATTCAACTATCCAAAATGGTGAATTGATGGGCAAAATAGCGATTTTTCACGGTCAAAAATTTACGGATTTTACCAATTGATTCCAACCAACTTGAAGGTTTGGTCCTTTTTGGGATAGGCACGCATATAAACACCATCACCTATTTTTCCGTGACGCCGCAATGAGGTCGCGTCATGCTTTATGCCTTCATTTTATAGGGATCTAGGTCGAAATATAATAGCTGGTTGGTGATTTTAACCATATTGAAACATATAAAAGTCAATGGGAAGGATTATCCCATATATTATGGAAAATAAAAGCCATGTTTGAAACCACCAACCAGTAATAGCTTCGCTATAACTAATCAACAGGTATGATGTTTGGGTCACGGTAGGGGAAAAAACATGGTGGATGTACCCCAATGTGTACGTCATGATTGAACAAACAAGAGCTGAACCATGCTGTCTGGGGGCATGGGTCCAAGATTGGTCACCAACAAAATGGTGGTTCCAACACGGGTTGTAAATAGTTTACATCCGTTTAACATAAACCTTAGGAGTTTATCCGCATATCATATGCCCACATGATATACCCTCTGGTAATTTAACATAACTATTGAAAATACCACATTTATGGTGGATTTACCCATTCAAAATGATGATTTTCTATAGCTATGTTAGTGAAATCCTCAGTCCCTTGCTGCAATCCTAAATGTCTCAAATGTCTCACGTTTTCGCAGCTGTTCAAAATGTCAAAATGGTTGGTAAAACAGCTGCGAAAAATAGATTATATTATATTAAATAATAATGATAACGGTAAAACAAGATTATTATCATTATTATTTAGATCATTGGGCGCCCCCACATCCCCACTTACACGGATTTCATTCTCGGCACATAACCATTCTTATTGTGGTATTGTAGCATTTTGTTGAAATATTTCATGGTAAAATATGGTACAATCATATAGAACCCATAAGTTGCTTTCAAGCCTTGTGGGTCAGCACACATGTCCCGTTTCCTTCAGCAGCACTCCTTTCTTGATGCACCAATGCAGAGTAGTCACTTATACCAGTAACTCAAATTCTTGTGGCCTCTCTCCTTGCAATGTTATAGGTTATAAGATATATGTGTGAAGATATTCGGTGAAAACCTGCGCAAAGCCAAGGGCTCGTTCCTCTGCGATGTTCTCCCAGCCCCAGGTTTCAGCATGGAAAACAGAGTTCCAATCTGATATAATCTGATTCAACAGCTGGTTTGCCATGGTCACATCTGGGTCCTGCGCTTGTGACCATGTGCCTGACAAGAACTCTTCCATTGTGCCTGCCCGCCATCCAAGTAGCTCCATGTGCCATAACCCCAACGTAAGTAAGCTACATACTTCAACCGACGCAGGGCCCTTCCCACATCACATCTTTAACTACCACAAACGACGCTTTCAGGATCAACGACTGATCTACCTGTCAAAAAGGGTGATTCTTTTCCAGCTAGCATCAGCTAGCAATGTTTGATTCCAAGAGGGTAATTAAATCTCGCATGTTGAAACACACCTGCGCAGTGTTCAAAACCCCTATGGGTTAATTTTTCGGGATTGTACTACCCTCTCTTTCTCTCTCTCTCTCTCTCTGTCTCTCTCTCTCTCTCTCTTTATAAATATATATATATATATGGGAATATCATCCTCCATTATGGGAAATCTGTTCTCAACCAGCCGGGACGACAGGCCAGGCCTTCCCTCCCGCATTCGCATTTGCCAGCAGCTCGTTGCCCAGGTCGCCGTCGGCGTCCGGCAACGCACGGAGGGCGTGTGGCCACTGGGAGTGTCCTGGCGGCCGTCTGTGGAAGCTGGTAATTAATCGTCAGTATCCTTAAGTTGGCTCATAATTACAATGAATGGTAATAATAGTGGATAACAAGAATCATCATTATCAATGTACTATACCCAATGCCATGTCTGCCAGCCCCAAGTCACCATCTTTTGGATTGCAACCATCCTCATGGTAGCTTTATGGCAGCTAGGGTTTACCACAAAAAAAGGACAAAAAAAGGTCAAAGCGTGGCAGAGTACTACCCCAAAATTCTATAATACAAAAGCCTACTCATAAAGACCTATATAGTCATAGTGAATCAATGCAAGATAAGTGCCAATAATCATTGATTATCATTGATTCATCAGTCAATACTACAGGAAAAGACTTCACAGGTCAAAGTGGATGGTGTAATGGTCTTGAACCCTCCTGTAAGACACGGATATTGAAAAAAGTCTTTGGCAGTCTATTTATGTTTGATCTAGACTGGCCACTTGTGTCTTGCAAGGTTCTAAACCTTTGAGTCAATGGTTGCAAGTGGGTAATTATAGGTAGAGATACCTGCCATCTGTGAGCATTGAATCTAGGATCAAAGCAGGTCAAACTGCCAATTAACCATTGATTGAAGGATGTTTTAAACCACAAAGCATGAGGCAGTGCCCAACCAAAAGTGTAGCTTTTGGGGACAAAGGTTGGCATTTACTAATCCATGTTCCATGAACTGATTATTTACAGTTATAGCCCTTAACAGTTATTACTTGCTCATAATATAAACATATACCCAACTACAGTAGTTGCAGCCCAGTTTTAGCTGTTAAGGGCCACAGCTGTAAGGGAACACCTACGGAAAATATGGCAATTTCCGGTGCATGTTTCCATCAAGAAAGTTAGTCAATGATGGGCTGCAGCTGTGTTTTAGTATCAGCTACCCTCTGGTAAACATTAAAAAAAATGTGATTTTCCATAGTTATGTTAGGTTACCAGAGAGTATCTGCTAGTATTTCCGCCCCATGTTTGTCAGCCAAAAAATGATCACTAGTCTATATAAATACACCCAAAGTTAGTCAATTCTTGCCACTGGGTGGTTCTTAAAAAGAACCAAGAACCATACCCACCAACTAAAAGGGGGATTATGATTGCGACCAGAGTGACCCACCATCCTTAATTGGAGTTTTGATGTTCGTAATTTTATAATGTTAGTTATTGAGCTTACTTCTATATTGTATGAGTAGCCCCCTCCTCTACGAGTACATCAGTGGGCTTACCCATTCACAGATTTCGATCCGGATGAAACCATGATAAACCCACTAAAAAGTAACTATAGGAACACAAATGTCCAGCAAAACTAGCACTTTTCATCCATACAATGACAATTTTCCAGCGTAAAATTCCAATTTTCCTTCCTAAAAATGTTGATAAAATAGCAACGTTCCTTCATAAAATTGCTATTTTCCAGCACAAAAATGCAATACATGACAGTTTTCAACATGAAATAGCATGTGTCCTTCCAGCATAAAATAGGAATGTTGATTCATATAACGGCAATTTTCCGGCATACAATTGCAATCATGACCATTTTCCAGCAATAAATGGCAGTTTTCCTTCATAAAATGAGCATTTTCTGGCAAACGTCACCACTCCACCGCTAAGTCCACGGGTCTTTGGCAGGCAGTCGCCACGCTGCGTACAACCCGGTGAGTCTGAATGCAGCGAAGTCCGACATCTTCCTGGGGGCGATGGATTCAACAGCAACCCTTCACAAAAATAGACTAAGTAAACCACATCACATAAAAAACAAAATATATATCAAGATAATGATTAATAATGATTAATAATATAATTGATTAATATATATATATATATATACTTGTATTTATCAATGTAATCTAATGATTAATAATGATTAATAATGATTAATAATGATTAATAATGATTAATAATGATTAATAATATAATATTGATTAATATATATATACATACTTGTATTTATCAATGTAATCTAATGGTTAATAATGATTAATAATGATTAATAATATAAATTGATATATATATATACTTGTATTTATCAATGTAATCTAATGATTAATAATGATTAATAATGATTAATAATGATTAATAATGATTAATAATGATTAATAATATAAATTGATTAATATATATATATATACTTGTATTTATCAATGTAATCTAATGATTAATAATGATTAATAATGATTAATAATGATTAATAATGATTAATAATATAAATTGATTAATATATATATATACTTGTATTTATCAATGTAATCTAATGATTAATAATGATTAATAATGATAATAATGATTAATAATGATTAATAATGATTAATATATACATATATATACTTGTATTTATCAATGTAATCTAATGATTAATAATGATTAATAATATAAATTGATTAATATATATATATACTTGTATTTATCAATGTAATCTAATGATTAATAATGATTAATAATGATTAATAATGATTAATAATGATTAATAATGATTGATAATGATTAATAATGATTAATAATGATTAATAATGGTTAATAATGATTGATAATGATTAATAATGATTAATAATGATTAATAATATAAATTGATTAATATATATATATATACTTGTATTTATCAATGTAATCTAATGATTAATAATGATTAATAATGATTAATAATGATTAATATATACATATATATACTTGTATTTATCAATGTAATCTAATGATTAATGATTAATAATGATTAATAATGATTAATAATATAAATTGATTAATATATATATATACTTGTATTTATCAATGTGATCTAATGATTAATAATGATTCATAATGATTAATAATGACTAATAATGATTAATAATATAAATTGATTAATATATATATATATACTTGTATCTATCAATGTAATCTAATGATTAACAATGATTAATAATGATTAATAATGATTAATAATGATTAATAATATAAACTGATTAATATATATATATATACTTGTATTTATCAATGTAATCTAATGATTAATAATGATTAATAATGATTAATAATATAAATTGGTTAATATATATATATATACTTGTATTTATCAATGTAACCTAATGATTAATAATGATTAATAATGATTAATAATGATTAATAATGATTAATAATGATTAGTAATGATTAATAATGATTAAAAATATATATATACTTGTATTTATCAATGTAATCTAATGATTAATAATGATTAATAATGATTAATAATATAAATTGATTAATATATATATATATATACTTGTATTTATCAATGTAATCTAATGATTACTAATGATTAATAATGATTAATAATGATTAATAATATAAATTGATTAATATATATACTTGTATTTATCAATGTAATCTAATGATTAATAATGATTAATAATGATTAATAATGATTAATAATGATTAATAATATAAATTGATTAATATATATATATACTTGTATTTATCAATGTGATCTAATGATTAATAATGATTCATAATGATTAATAATGACTAATAATGATTAATAATGATTAATAATGATTAATATATACATATATATACTTGTATTTATCAATGTAATCTAATGATTAATAATGATTAATAATGATTAATAATGATTAATAATGATTAATAATATAAATTGATTAATATATATATATATATACTTGTATTTATCAATGTAATCTAATGATTAATAATGATTAATAATGATTAATAATGATTAATAATATAAATTTATTAATATATATACTTGTATTTATCAATGTAATCTAATGATTAATGATTAATAATGATTAATAATGATTAATAATATAAATTGATTAATATATATATACTTGTATTTATCAATGTAATCTAATGATTAATAATGATTAATAATGATTAATAATGATTAATAATATAAATTGATTTATATATATATACTTGTCTTGATCAATGTAATCTAATGATTAATAATGATTAATAATGATTAATAATATAAATTGATTAATATATATATATACATATATACTTGTATTTATCAATGTAATCTAATGATTAATAATGATTAATAATGATTAATAATATATATATACTTGTATTTATCAATGTAATCTAATGATTAATAATGATTAATAATGATTAATAATATATATATATACTTGTATTTATCAATGTAATCTAATGATTAATAATGATTAATAATGATTAATAATGATTAATAATGATTAATAATGATTAATAATGATTAATAATGATTAATAATATAAATTGATTAATATATATACTTGTATTTATCAATGTAATCTAATGATTAATAATGATTAATAATGATTAATAATATAAATTGATTAATATATATATATACTTGTATTTACCAATGTAATCTAATGATTAATAATGATTAATAATGATTAATAATATAAATTGATTAATATATATATATATACTGGTATTTATCAATGTAATCTAATGATTAATAATGATTAATAATGATTAATTATGATTAATAATGTAAACTGATTAATATATATATATATACTTGTCTTGATCAATGTAATCTAATGATTAATAATGATTAATAATGATTAATAATATAAATTGATTAATATATATATACTTGTATTTATCAATGTAATCTAATGATTAATAATGATTAATAATGATTAATTATGATTAATAATGATTAATAATGATTAATAATGATTAATAATATAAATTGATTAATATATATACTTGTATTTATCAATGTAATCTAATGATTAATAATGATTAATAATGATTAATAATGATTAATAATGATTAATATATATATAAATATACACTTGTATTTATCAATGTAATCTAATGATTAATAATGATTAATAATGATTAATAATGATTAATAATGATTAATAAAAAAAATTGATTAATAAATATATATATACTTGTATTTATCAATGTAATCTAATGATGAATAATGATTAATAATGATGATTATAATGCAAAGAATGAAATCTAAATCATTGCAAATCCACTGTTTTGGCATGTTTTTTAAAATTGGGATCGCAGTAACTGCAGCTGAAGCGACTAAGCTCCACAGCGCCTCGTGCCAAGCACGAAGCCCGCCGGAGAGCACAGCCTCAGGTCGTGGTTCAAGGGGGAAAGAAACATAAAACATAATATGAAAAAACACATGTTGATGAAATACCAGAATTATTGATCAATATAATTGATCAATAACAATATAATTGATTAGCATCAGAATCTTGAATGAGAACAGTTGATCATATGATAATCACAAGACGATTATCGGAGCCCCTTATTTGGATTCCCTGATGATACATCTCTATATATTCTATTTCTATCTTCATCAGAATCTATATATCCTTTGGCTCTGATCGTCACTAGCCGTCACGAACAAGTCTTGGGCAAGATTTAAGCCCATAGGCTACAGGCTCCAAACATGTCCAAAAGGTGTTTGCTAACTATGCAGTGCTGACGTCATACATCTGAGCAAGAAGGTAATTAAAGGACCGGATAACCCCACAAGTCAACTTCTTCCAACAAGCAACAAAAGAAAGGCAAAGACGGCATGGGGTAAGCAAGAAAGAGAAAAGAGATGGTGAAGGATTGATGTGGAGTAAGTTATGTGTGGACGAGTATGTGTGAGTAAGTTGTGTATGGATGAGTTGTGTTTGTGGGTGAGGTGTGTGGGTGTGCGTGTGTGTGTGTGCGAGTATGTGTGTGTGGTGTGCGGCCACGATCAAAGATGCCCCACGCCAGGAAGTGCGGCGAAGGGCAATCGATGCGTGACCATTGATTATGTGTCCGCAAACGTACAGCGCAGACCATCACGAAAACGGATGGCCCACGACTGGCGTTTGGATGATGTGTGTGTGTGTGTGGGTGTGTGTGTGTGTTTGTCTCTGTGTGTGTGCGTGTGTGTGTGTGTACGTGTGTGTATGTGTGTGTCTGTGTGTGTGTGTATGTGTGTGTGTGCGTGTGTGTGTGTGTCTGTGTGTGTGAGTGCGGGTGTCGGCGTGGACCATGTACGCGATGAGGTCAGTACCTGGCAGGTAGTATCAGAAGATGCGATCACGTTGAAATTGCAACAAAACAGCTGTCCATGGACAGTGCAGAAACAGCAAGTGACATACAAATAGCTGCAACTGTTTGCACAGAACCTGTTCTGAGCTGGGACGAACGCCATCCTTTCTTTCGATCACATTTGCATCGTGTTCAGGAGCATATAGTGTTTGTCCTTGCGCAACTGCTGAACAGAGAGTGCCATCACTGTGCAACATGCGCAGACGTTGCCAGAGAGTGCCATCAAAGCAGAAACATGCGCAGAAACGATACAATTCATTCTCTTGCACGAATTGTATCCTTTTATCTCCTTTTTGTGTGATCAAAATCCTGGCAAGACCTGTAGCACTTTGTCTCGCAGTGGGGCCGACTCTAAACGTGTCACGAATGGTGGAAGAGTTGGCCGTCGCGACCCCAGTCTTCCCACATTGAGTCAACCATGGGTCCCGCAGCTAACAAAAGGTGCGGTGGCCGTCCTCATTTGTTTCCTTATATTCAGAAACGCAGAAGCACTTTTTGCGACAGCAGCAAATGGTTCTTCGCACATTGCGTCAAACCATTTCATGATATGTAAAGAAAGATGTGTATCATAATTACAGCAACATTTCTTTTCCCGTAGACTGCTGTCACGACGTCTTCTTGCGACCCTGTTCAGACGGAGATTCCGCT